CTGTCTCCTTGTCATCTGGGAATTTGCCCTGTGCCCACTGCCTCTGAAATTTTTGCATTGATAAAAAGTTGTAAAATATTGTAATAAGAATGTGGATGATAGAAAAATTTTTAGTATCTTAAAATAATGCTCATTATATGGTTGGTTTTCTGTAGGCAATTAAGGTCTCAGTGAATCGTGAGTACATGAATTATAAAAGATGAGGTAGAGAATGAGGGGAAGGAGTTAAAGGAAGAAGTTCAGTTAATTGAGCACTTGTATTCCAAGCACTGGATTAGGTTCTTTCCACATATTAACTTAAATAATCAGTTTTACACCTTAAGTGTCTATTCAGAGAAATAAGAGGGAAATCTGTTTGAAATATTTACCTCCAAAAAATGATATGGTTGTTGGAATTTCATTTGCAAATACATGCATATGGTCAGTTTAGATCATAACAGTGTCAGAAGGAGCCTTACAAACAACAAGGTCCAGGGAGGTTAGCTGAATTTCTCAAAATGAGTTTGTTGAACCTATAACCCAGCCTAGCTTTGTCTGGTTTAGCAGGCTCTCTCTGATTTTTGAGAGCTCTATATAATGCTAATGAATATGGATGCATTCAATATGAATTACTGAGAGGGAGAACACTTTGGATCATAGTTGAGCTTACCCATTTGCAAAATGCTACAAAATCTTTAGATGAGAGACATCCAGAAAAAAATATCATCTTAATTGACTGATGTTTGTAGTACAAAGGAGTGCAGTTAGGGAGGAAAGAAACTGCATCTCTCTCCGTGCATAGTTTGGTAATAAATATGTGCCCTTCACAGTGCTTGCACTTTATATTATCCTCAAATATTAATTGGCTTTCCTATTAGAAACAGTTGGTGTTCATATCTGAATAGAATGTTAACATGTTCCAAATCCTTTAAATCTTTCTTGAAATGTTACTTCTTTTGGGGTGTTAGGATGCAGAAAGAGTGGAAGGACATAAAGCCTTCCTTTGCATCCAATCAGTAAACTGATCAAAGAAATAAATATAAAATATAATCTCTAACTGGTACCAATAAGCTGGAACTGTTACCACACTTAAATAAAATTCTGCATGACCTCCAATGCAATTCATTGAACAAATATTTGTTGCGATCCTTCTCTGTGATAGGCACTGTGCTTATCTTTTAGATCCTGAAGTTTTTATATTTAATAATTTGATTGTAATTAATTCATTAAGAAGTTCCCTTAAATGAGATCAGAGTTCAAGGGAACTCAAAGATCTGGTTAAACACAAGGTTATAATGTAAGGACCTAAACCTTGTTTTGGTAGCATTACTTCATGCAAAGACATTTTTTAGACAAAGGCAAAGGCATTACCTTAAGGCTCATGGAATCTAGTTTGAAAATAGGCAATCAAAAAGATATCAATTATATAATTTCCTATTCTTACCATATTTAACCTCCAATTGGAGGCAAGAATTTAAAGCCTCAGCAAATAATTCTTGAATATTCTGTCACTTTATGCCTCAAGTGCTCTGAGCTTTCTAAGCCCTCACAACAGAAAACATTTCTGCACATTCTAGGATTATCAAGACTCACGTAGTAAATGTAAAATTTTAAGCTGATATTGGTTCCCCACTAAGATAATATTTTTCCAGTCTCCACTTCATATTATAAAATTTATGGCTGTCATGTAATATGACTGTCAATGTCTTTTTTAAAGAATTTAATACTGCTGGATATGGGGAATTCAGTATATATTCTTACTAAGTGGACCTATAATAATTAATATTTAAATGTTCAGACCATTGAAGTTAATAGGTTTTTTTTTTATATTTTGGAATAAAACTTTTTAAATGGCCTCTTCTGTTTTATCCCCTGGCATCATTATTTGTTTTTATAACCAACAGCAAGCTGATTTTGTTGAATCCACATCTTTCACCATGAGATATCCATTAAAAGAATTACAATCCATGGGATTTATTAATGGAGTGCCTGAGAACCATATACCATCTTCGAGGGTTGCCTTTCACTTAAAATGTAGTGAAAGTTCATTTTCTTCTGCTAAAGCTCAACTCCTAGAATACTTAAAACAGAAAGAATGCTAACAAGTTTGATGTTTTACTATATATTTTTTCAAAAGTCAAAGAGCTTCCCACATAGAGTGTACCATTCCATAGGCCCTAACTAGACCAATAAGGCAGGAATTGAGACATACTTCTATGGTTAGGTGAGACTGTGATGAAAAAGAACATAGAATTAAGAGATACAGCACCCTTACATTCCAATCTTGGCTATGTCACTAGCTCTGTGTGTGTGTGTGTGTGTGTGTGTGTGTGTGTGTGTGTGTGAGCATGTTTCTTGAATAAATATTATCTCTGGATCTCGTTAACCCATAAATAGAATAAAGGGATTGGTTTGTAAACATTGCTATAATACTTGTCTAGCCCTAAAATTACAGATAAATGCTCCCAGAACTGATGGGGTAAGTTGACACATTCATTTTGGCACTTCAAATTCAGAAAAATTATTCTTCTGGGACCTGGTAGTGGGTCCCAGATAGATAGATGTGCCAGTTAGTGACTTAGTATTATTGCTTTGATTTGGGTCATATTATCAGCATGTGATTATAGTCGGTCTAAAAAAAGACCAAATTCATAGTTGACAAGAGAGGCGATGCCCTCAGGTTTCTCAGTTCTTTGAAATCATGAGCACCCACCACAGCCAAAATGGGTTGTCAAGACACTTAATGCTTTGCTGCTTTTGAGGAAAACAGGTGCTTTCTAAACATGTTAGCCATGCAACCTGTCTAGAACCCTATACTTTTTGTAAGCCAAAAAGATGACAAAGTCAGTGTAAATGTATGAATTAGACTTTTTTAACCTGATGAAATAAACATGGGTGAGATCTGCCCTTATCTAGGAGGGCATCCACACAGACACACCGTTTCTTGATGCAGTGTGGTTAGAAGAGATAATATGGAGGAAATCTACATTGGGTCAAATGAGTAAACAAAGCTTGCAGCTCAGAAATATGTCAAATCCCTGAGCAATTAGGGAAATTTGCTCTTATTTTCATTATATCGGCAGTGACTCATATAAACTCCACCGAGAGGAGTATGTGCATAAACATAGACTTGAAGAAAGCTTTCGTGTATCTCTCCACTTAAGTGTAAGTTCCTGTAGGGCAGTGAGAGTACCTTGTTCATCTTTAGCTCTGGTTAGGGCATTGCCTGACACAACATGCCTGTTCGACATGGGTAAAGAAATGAACCTGAGGATCAAACAGTCCTCCATCTAATGACAGGATCTTCCTCTGTTCCAATCCTTCTAGTTCTCCAGAGAGCTCATTCCCACACAAGGCAGTTTGGGGTATGGGACATAGCTCCTACTTACTGAACTCAAGTTTGCCTCTATCTAACTTCCATTTGATGCAGAAGATGGTGGACTTGTGTTCTGCTAATGTTAACATGTAACAGGACTATTAGAATAAGTCACAATTGGATCCAAAAGGATGTCATCACAACATTCTGGTTCTTTTGATGGGTTTTTGGCCTGAATGTAATAGTCATTAAAGATTCTGTTGGGAAATGCTTTTCTTGAAGAACCCTTAACATCCCATCTTTTCTCACCTACTAATCTCTGCTTATATTCAGCTCTCAACCTCACAGAGGAAGATTGCTGTATTGCAACTGCAGGTTCAGGGATGAATTTTCCAAGAACTTAGTGTAATGACAAGTTTATTTTGGTTCTGTAAAGCCCTGAGGGCCATGGTCACATGTGCTATATATGAATAATTATGAAAATGAAATAAAAAATATCATTCCAGTTAATATTTCTATGCTAGAACTGTCACTTTATTGAAACAAACAAAAATTTTCCCATGATTTTCAATGACATTCATTTATTCATTCAATAAATGTGCATTGAGATCTTACTCTGGGTTAGCATTGTGTGTTTTCTATAGATCTTCACTTTATTATGTTTAATATCTTATATATAACACCTTAATGATAGTTTTATTTAGGTTCTTTTAAATGATAGGGCAAACCTCTAAAATGTTTTGTCTATTTATTTGTCCACATGGTAAAATGAAACTTTTAAATATCAGGGCTTAGAAAAAATATTTTAAATTTATATGTTATTCAAAATTGTACATAAATGTACCACTTATAAATATGATTTGTATCTATACACATTTTTTTCCTTTGTTATTTGAGGAAATTATTTGCTTTATTATAAGTGTAAGGACTGGGAAGGGAACTATCCTAGATAGTAAGTGTTGTCAAGATTATTTCCCAGGTTCTACAAATCCCCCAAAATTGGATATTTAAAAATACTTGAATAATTTAACTTAAGATCATGAGAACAAGTGGCTGGCTGCATTTGCAAGTCAGCTTAATGAAAATAAATGAGAAGTCTAATAGCTTCCTGAATAAAACAGTTCTGCTTCACTATCTTTCTTATTCACTGCATGAATAACTCTCCCTTCACAAAAAATGTGGTGAACAGGTAAAAAGTAGATCAAATAGAGACAGTCCACACACTTTGTTCACTTTGAAGTCAAAGAGGTTTAGAACTCAATTACAAATGCTTTTCCTTTGTTACATTATGCAAACTTGGAACTAGAGATTATAATATTTAGTGAAAATATTTCATATTTTAAGATGTGCATCTTCATCTCCCAAATAGCTTAAACAGCTGATCAATGTAGAAACAACAATCATATCACAAACTTACACTACAAACAACTACAAAATGTGAAAAACAATGTTTACAAATGGTAGCAAAGAATAAATTAATTTTCAGTGCACATAATTGGGTATGTACAGGATAATTTAAAACCAAAGGGAGTGATTGCTAATACTGAGCTCTCAGAAATCTCCATCAAAATATACATGTCACCCAAGAGAGAGTAATAAAAATAAATTGTGACACAAAAGCAAAATGTTGTCTCTCTTCTTATCCTCAAAACTTGGATGATAGCTCACCAAAATAATTTTTCCAAGTGTGCAAATGATGGAAAACTTTAATTCCAAAACCACTTCTCTAAATTACCAACAGATTTATATTCTTGATGCCTTTTCACGTGATCACAAGCCAAGCATGCATGTGATTCCCAAAATCGTGGAAGATTCACTGTGAAATCCTTCCTCCAGTTAAAGTAACTAAGGTATAACTTATTGTTTTTGTCAACTTCTTTCAGATACTTGGCTAGCTCACTGGGAGAGTTATAATCTTCTACATGAATGAATGAATCTGCTGGAATATAATTCTCATAATTTTCCCTAGATGGCCCCAGAACAACAGGTACAGAGCCAGCTAGAAAAGCATTGTAGAGCTTTTCTGTGATGTAATCTTTGTGGATTGAGTTTTCAAAAGAAAGATAAAATTTGCAAGTAGATATGGTAGGAATCAAATTTTTATCATTCACATACTCTCCAAATGCTTGCCCATAGGTATGGATTTCAATGCTTTTGCTTAGCTCATTGTAATACTTGACCCTCGCATGCTCAGGGTTCCAGTTACTTACAACCCAGCACACTAACTTCTCTTTGCTTGGCACCTCAAACACGAAGGGGTTTGTGCTCACCGTCAAGAAGCCGTAAGGCACTTGGATATCTGAGTCACGGCGGTAAGTCAGAGTCAAGTTGAACAGGTGTTCGATGCCACTCTTTTGGGGCGTGTGAGTTGGTGATTCCAAATTCATCCAAATCCATTTCTGGAAGGGTGGCCTAGCCTGCTGTGGTAAGTTAGTCAGATCCCAACTGATGTCTCGGTGATGGATCAGAACTGCATGGGATTTGTTGTATAGAGAACGGTCTGTTGTGAGATGGCATCCTTGGATGTTGAACATTGCTTGGCAAGATGTAAGGTCAAAGGTCTGCCCAAATGGCCACACCCAAATCAGGATAGTAGTTTCATTAAAATAATCAGTTTTGGTGGAGAAGAAGTTTTTCATTTTCAGCACTGAGCTGGCCGACTCCATTGGACTGAAGATCCAGCTGTTGGTGGGTTTGATGTAAATGAGCAGACATGCCATGAAGCAGCCCAGGATAATGCAGACAATTAAAAATGGGCGGAGAATTCCTTTGGATGCTGAGGTCATAATTTTTTCTGTGAAACAGAAAGAGAAAAATAAAGGGGTAGGTGGGGTAGTGATGAAAAGTTAATCATAAATATAATTTGAGATTAACAGGTGATGCATCTCAAAATACACTTAATCACAAAATCAGTTGCATTTTCCTTTTTTAGTGTTTTATAAACCATTAGAAAAGTTGAGCTTTTATTAAGCCAAGAAACTGCTTTTGAAAGGACCTTTCCCCTGAACTCCATAAATAATGAGTCAGAATTTGTTATAAGTGTGCCAGCATATCTTCCAGCCTGGTTACATTTGTTTTCAATGTCATCCTTACCTGTTATATTTTTATTTGTTTCTAGAAAGCTGGCACAAAGACGAGCATCACCAAGGCTATGACTAAAATTTTTAATACTTTGAAACCACATCAGATCTGTGAACATTCCTTAGTTTATATAACTATTAATTATATATGTAATTATTATAATTATTTACTAGTGCATTTTTGAGACTGTAATATAACTTTGCAGTTCAAATAGAATTCAGTAGAAACCAAACTTTTTTTAAAAAGTTTTGTTTTGGTTTCTTGATATAAGTTCATCTTCCCTGCCAAAAATGCATCACAATAGTCCTCTTGTAAAAGATGGCAGCTCTTGGTTTGATATCGGTTGTTTGTTTTGTTTTGTTTTTTAGTAAAGTGCACTGATGCAAAAATTTGATAAAGTAAAATACTAGGTTGTGATAATAAAATGCTCTAGTGGCATTAGAAAAACATTCTCATGTGGTATCAGGGCATTAAAAAAAGTTTTTCCTGGGGCACCTGGGTGGTTCAGTCAGTGAAGAGGCTGCCTTTGGCTCAGGTCATGATCCCAGGGTCCTGGAATCGAGCCCCACATCGACCTCCTTGCTCAGCGGGGAGCCTGCTTCTCCCTCTCCCTCTGCCTGCCTCTCTGCCTACTTGTGCTCTCTCTCTCTCTGTCAAATAAATAAAATCTTTAAAAAAAAGTTTTTTCTTAGCATTAAAATGACATTAGTATAATAAAAATAAATGGATTCTCAAAAGAAAAGAATTATGTTTCATGGAGAACAATACTGATCTTGTGAATTATAGCAGATTCCTGCTAATAAGATGAATTAAGGCTTTTTGTTTTTTTTAATACAAGAGTCTTCAAGGTTTTTCCTCTTTGACATTCATGTCTTCTTATGAATATGAACACAAAGATAAAATATGTAATATGTTTGCAAAACTGTCTTTTGATCAAATTCTTACTGATCCTCTGAAATACATAATTCTTTTCACCAAAATAATGTGGTCTATCAATTTCATGTTCATTAAAATATTTTGAAATCTTGATCAAAAGCTAGTGTAGAAACAGGAGAGGTTTCCTTCAAGAAAAAAGGGAGAAATTGTTCTTTATTTAATTACCTAAATTTATGTGAACATTTAAAAAATCACATTTTTTGGTTGTTTTTATGAAGTTTTTCTTAAAGCATATGACATTCCCTAGGTAGTTCCCTTGATTCCGTGAATCCAGATTCTGGATATTATATCCAGGAGCACTCCCAGAACAGAATTATTGGAATCAATGACTGAGACTTACCATCAAATTTAGCTTCAGCCCTGTCCAGTCAATAACAAAAGGAAAATAAAAAAGTGTCTACCAAATATGTTCAGAAACTATTAATTAACTCCTGAGCTACAGAGAAAATAGAAAGGACTATGAAAGAAATCTCAACTGTTTAGAACTAAATGACATTGTTGGCACTACATGACGGATTTGGTGGAATGTGGCTAAAACAGTACTTTATTTAAAGGAAATTTACAGGTTTGCACAGTTTTTGGGAAATTAACAAAATTGCCAATTGAACAAGCTGGACAAAAAATAATGGGCCAAAGCTAAAGAAATAAGAAGTAAAAAATTAAGATAAGGATTGAAATCATTGAAATTCAGAGCAGAAATTTGAGAGGGTTGATAACATCACATGTAACTATGTGAGGTGATGAATGAATTAAACTTACTGTAATAATCATTTTGCAATATACACATATATCAAACCATTATGGTGTACCCCTTAAACTAATATAATGTTATATGTCAATTATAACTCAATAAAACTGGAAAAATACTAAAATATACCTCACACAAGAATAATCAAGAAAAAGGGAAATTCAACTTATTTTATTGTTTTAGGAAATTCAGTTTAAATATAAAAAAGGAGCAAATGATTATGCAACAGAAAAAAAATAAGAAATGACCGTATGGAGTAATTTTATGCTCATGAATTTGAAAAACTGATGAAACGGATGGTTATATATCTGCACAACTAGAAAAATGCCAATTTTAATAAGAAATTCTTATTAAACAAATAGCAGTTAGTGAAGTGGAATTGATAAATGATAACTGAAAACAAACAGTAGACCTAGATGGCTTTGTAGGAATGATATCAATTGTTCAATGAATAGAGAACACTGTCATTTAAAAATATTCTAGGAAACAGAAAAATAAATAAAGAAGCTTAACTCATTATGTGAAGCCCATTATTGACCTATTACCAAAAGAAAATATAAAAAGTTAAAAAAGTCTATTTCACTTATGAACACAGATACAGACATTGGCAATAAAGAGTATTAAATATATTATGACACAATTCAAGAGGTTTATGTAGGTTCATGTACATTTGATCCTACTTTATAAATTTAACTAGTTGGACAATCTTTAAATTCTTACTAGACTCTGGGATCTACAGACTAAGGAAAGTTACTGGAAGGATCTCTTTTTTAATGGAGTAATACTAACCTTTAATATACATGATTTGACTGAGCAATGAAGTGTTTTTCTCCTATGAGACCAATGTTTAATGATGTTTAGAAATGTTCTCATTGATGAGGTGCCTGCGTGGCTCAGTTGGTTAAGCATCTGACTCTTGATTTCAGCTCAGGTCATGATCTCAGGGTTGTGAGATTGAGCCACGCTTGGGTTCCACACAGCCTGGAACCTGTTTAAGATTCTCTATCTCCCTCTCTCTCTCTCCTTCTGCCCCTCCCCTCCACTCATTTGCACTCTCTCTCCCTCTCTCTCTTGAAAGAAGAGAGAGAGAGAGAGAGAGAGAGAGAAATGTCCTCTTTGAAAAAGTTTTAAGTCCTTTTTGAATTGAAACGCAATTGACAAAAACTAAGTAAATGATGTCAATTCATTGCAGTAAGGTTACAACTTTAATAACCCCTGTTCAGTAACTGCTCACTCTCAGCCAGGTCTTATGCCAAGCACTTTGCACACATCATTTCCTTTAATCCTCATAGAACCTCTATCAAGAAAGTCTTTTATCACCTCTTCTTTACAGATGAAAAAACTGAGGGCTGGGGCACCTGGGTGCTTCAGTTGGTTAAATGTCTGCCTTTGCCTCAGGTCATGATCCCGGGGTCCTGGGATTGAGCCCCAGGTCCGGCTCCCTGCTCGGTGGGGAGTCTGCTTCTCCCTCTGCCCTCCCCCCTGCTCATGCTCTCTCTCAAATAAATAAATAAAATCTTAAAAAAAAAAAGAAAAAGAAAAAACTGAAGGCCAGAGATATAAGTAGCTAGCTTAACCATTGGGTTATGCTCTTTCTCACCTTCTACAATCTTCTTTGAACAAATAATACAAACATCAATTGTCTATTGAGGTGCATTTGGCACTTCAAGTTTTATTGTCTTGATTTCTCTGGGCTCTACCCTTTATAATTGAGGACTGTTTATCCATGCATTAAATTTAGAGCAATTTCCCTTAACAGGAATACCTGATGCTTATATGATACTTAGTAGTGTCAAACATTGATCTTAGCACTTACGTTAACATACATACATATATATACACACAAACACATATATTACCTCATTGTAATCCCATTTTATTGATAAAGAAACTGAGGCCTCTAATGGTTAAGAAACTTGCCCGGGGTCACCCAGTTCAGAAGTGGCAGAGCACACTTTCAAACAAACCCAGATCATTGGTTCCAGTTTGGGTCATGAGCACTACATTTTATGTTCACTGATTCTCCAGGTTGCAGCTAGTGAATGTAATAACCAGAATGCAAGCTCTATGAAGGGTTTTGTTTCTTCACTCCTTTATCCTCATCACCAGAATACAGTAGGTGTTTAAGAAATGCTATATATATATATATATATATATATATATATATATATATTGCATGAATGAGTGGGTGGATTGCTGAATCCTTACCATGTGCAAGGTAAAATCCTTGGTAACAAGATAAGCAAGAATGAGCCAAGTGTGAATGAAGAAATAGATACTTAGTTGCTTTCTGTGTGCATTTAACATGTATACCTTTAGAGAATAACTACCATCACAGTTGACATACAGATATTTCTAAACGTCTGTAACATGAGCAAAATCTCCTAGTTTTGCTTCTCTTTGTCATGTGTTAAAGTTGGCATCTATCTAGTACACTTTAATTCCATGACTCTTTTTTTGGCCAAATGAAAAAAAAAAAAAGGTCACTAGGCAAGAAACAATGTTCTTTTCATTGTGTGCCTCTCAGTTTTTCTGCTTCCTGGACATTTTGTATTGAGGTTCTTTTTGTTAACTCTCTGCACACCTCTCCCCTCAGCTTTTCATTGCTAATGGGGTCAATTACTGAACAGTAGGGACAGTTACTCAGTAACCCCTGCTTTGTACAGAAACTGTTAGGAAAGTTTGCCTCTTGGAGCCTAATTGACATCCCCTTGACAGGTACCTTCAAACCTACTCCTCATAACTAAAATTCAGTTGGATACCCAACACATCTTGAACTGTTAATCTATACAAACTGTTTTTAAAGCACCCACAGCAGTGTTACTTAAGCTCTCACCAGAGAGAGCAATACATTTATAGCATAAAGCAAATTATAACAATAAATAGTATAATTATAAATTCACAATTATTTTTGATAGTCTCAAGTACCATAAAAATATAAAGACATTACAATTAAGAATTAACAAAATCTTCAGTAAAAGTATAACTTGATGGGATTTGGTGTGCATACAATTCTGCTTT